GTCTATTGTACTAGCGACTAATCCCAAACAAACAGAAGATACTCAGTCCTGATGAACTCATCCTAATATTATTTGAAAATAGAAGCTTCCGATTTTTAGTATATTATTAGTCTTTGTTTAGATTAAAGTCATCAGGTAACCTACCAACAATCTATACTTCATTTTTCTATAGGGATGCTAAGTTTTCAGTGTAGTAGTTTTCCGGAGTGTGGTGACAAAACTGATTTCTTTCAGTTTTTATCCACATTTCGCGATTAAAGTTTGAGGTGTGAATCAATCAAATATCTTAAGTTTCGATCCACAGAATTGTGTTTCTAATTCAGTCTTTGCGAAAGAATACTCGACCTTATTGCAATTGGTGATTGCACTGTGTAACAAATAAGATGTTTTTCACCAAATTTTAAAATATTCAATTTTAAGTAACATATTCTATGAAAATAATCACATAAGAATTCTTATTAAAATAACTACAATTAACAATAAACAAATCAAAGCACAGATACACATAATCTCAACAAAAATAAAAAAAAAAAAAAACAAATTCACATAAAATTTGAAATTTATCTAAACACGATTATTGCATTCATTTATGCATTCATCATTATGATAATCAACAGTAAAGAAAGTAACAACGGCGGAAGAAATGCAACTTAAAGTTGTGCATATGCCCGCCTGATCAACTGTCTGTCCAACTGCTCGCTTGTCCGTCTGTCCACACTCTAATGTAACTATAAACTATGTATCTGCATGCGCAGATACATTTAAACGCATTCATATCCGTAAATTGCATTCGAATGAAATGTTTTTTGGTCAGATTTATAAAGGTCATCGAACGCATATGCAACAGTTGCCGCTTCGGGCAACTGGCAACTGGCAACAGACAAGAGACTAAACTGTGCATAGATCCAAGCTCAGCTTCAAACTCTACGAAATGCTGAGTTGTTTACGTCATTGCGTGGCTTAGCTGCTTGGTGCAATGGAGTTTTTATTTCGATTTCGTTACTATTAACAAAAAATCCAAAAAATCCAACAAAAAAAAAAAATAAATAAATGAAAAAAATAAGATACAAAATACCAACAGGAGGAAAATGTAAATGATAGAAAAAAATATTCGTGTTGATGCGGTTGAAGTTAAATTTGGTGTTGGGGGGTTCCTGTTGCCCACAGGCTTATTGAATAGTAAATGCAAATGTAACAAATACAATTTTACTTCTGATTTATCAATTCCAAAGATTTTTTGTTTTTGTTTTTGTTTTTGTTTTTGTTTTTTATTTTTCCTGAAGTATTGCGAAATTCACTCTTCAATTTGATTTCGCCTAAAATATACCTATGAAATGCAGGGAAATAAATTCGAAAAGTAATTGAAAATAAGTAATTTTGCATAAATCAATACGTGAACATTTGTGCCAATTTCGTGAAGGTTTTTTTAGTTGTTGTTGTTGTTTTTGATGTACTTTGATTTCTTCACCAGCTGCAAACAAAACGGATTATTTTCAAATCATAATCCAAGATTTACGAGACAATAACAAATAAAAGAGGAATCTCCATAAATTTCAGCTAAACAACATTTAGAAAAGTATAGATTCATATTTCAAGAACAACAATTCAACTATTTAAATATTATATCGAATATATTCCATATATATCTACTTATACACTTAGCAAATATAATATATATAAGTATTATTATTATTGTTGGGGGATGTCGTGTCTATTATGCCCCTTCTGGGCTTAGAGTAGCTCCTTAAGGTCTGTTGCGTCAATAAAAAGTAGTGTAGAAACTATCTTATTACCTCTTCCGTAAAAATATACAACCAACAGTGATGAGAAGGCGTTAGGAGCATTCGTGAGAAAAATTCTTCGGAAGATCTATGGTCCCTTACGCGTTGGCGACGAGTATCGAATTAAATAGAACGATGAGCTGTATGTGCTATACCGCGACATTGACATAGTTAAGCGCATAAAAATTCAGCGGCTACGCTGGCTTGGTCAAGTCGTGCGAATGGAAGAAAGTGCTCCGGCTAGAAAGGTATTTGATTTGGTACCCGCAGGTGGTAAACGCGGTAGAGGACGTCCGCATCTTCGGTGGAAGGACCAGGTGACTAACGATTTGGGGGCGCTCGGTACTACCAACTGGCGTCAGAAAGCAACTAATCGCGCTGACTGGCGGAGGCTACTCGACGCGGCCAAGGACGACACACGTCTGTAATGGCCAACTAAGTAAGTAAGAATATACATTCCCAGGAGCCTCTTTTGTATGTGCATTGGCGCAATGCATTCTAACAACACATGTGTGGCCGACTCCTCATTCTCTTCACAGAATGTACAGTTTGCATTCGTAAGTATACCCAGTTTTGTAAGGTGATTTTTTTGTCTACAGTGATCTGTTAGGATTCCTGTGATGATTCTAAGTTTTTCTTTTGTTTATATATACATATAGTTCTTGAGAACTGCTAGTTGTTATATGTATACTCCGAATATTCATAATATGCACGCGAAAAGGTAAATGAGAAAATAAATAGAAATCTTGTTAGTAAGACACATTCAGATATGAATTATTATGTATTATTATTCATTTCTTAATTCCATTTCAAAATACCGATTTCTTTATGGGAGTGGTTTGCAACCAGTGAACCACGATATGGTTAAAAATTATCCGTGAATCAAATTTAACAGATATGGATACATAGCTTGTTTGTCCACACTTATAAGAGACCTCACTTATTAGAAAATAATTACAAAAAATGTCCAAGTAATTGTGTACCTAATTTATATCCTATATAATTATCTATGGGCTTATACAATTTATTATATATTATACCACAGATGCATAAAACATTTTAAATAATCATAAAGTTTATTATTCTTAAACTTTGTGGTCATAGTGTACCTATATCATAGTGAACAAACGTCAAAATGGTATCTCTACACATATACAATATATAATGATTACATTATTCGTTATATAGGAATATCATTAATAGAAATTTGTCATTTGTTAAATTAAGAACATTGCATCTTTTATATGCATACGAGTTATGCATTCGTTATATAAAAAAGTCGATGGTTTAATATATATAACTGAAAAAAAAATAAATATGAAAGTTCCAATGTTCCTAATACCACATGTTTTCACTGCTTGCTTAGTAAGTTGCTAAATGATTTTAAGATTTTATCGTTTCTATTGGCATAAGTTACTTATTGCATGTAAAAGAGGTTTTATGTGTCAGAAAGTGCTTTAAAAGTGCTTTTTTTTGTTTAAATAAACTTCACTTAATAATATATCACACAAAAAATTAAATATATAATTAATATTTTAAATCATTAAATCGTATTTTATGAATATATTATATATTCAATTAATGAAAACAAAGATTTAATAAATATATGCTTTCTCAGTATGTTTGTTTATAGCTCAGCTGTTGCTTGTTAACATTTTGCATATAAAACATATTACAAATAATTCAAATTTTGGGTTACAATACCCATCATCAGTGAGTGGTCTTGGTATTATTTCTTATATGTAATTAATCGTAAATAGTTTTTTGAGACTGTAATTTCTACGAGTTTTTAATTAACACCATGTACGTACTTAGGATGTGCTGTTCAGAAAGCCATTGCTGAAATAAGTGGACTATTGTACGAAATGTTTCAACAGCCAGTCTATTTTCCATATTGAGATCCCTCGATCTTAACGTGGGAAATGATATGCATCTAAGGAAGATGTGCTTTTTACAGTAAAGAAATATTTTTTAGATGTTTAAGACAAACTCTACAGATAAAGAATCTGTGAACTGAGAGATGATTTATATTAAAAAATAAGTCATTCCATTTATCGTTTTCATTCCAACAGATATAGTAATTTTTTTTTAAACAACTTGGAACAAAATCACTATGAATGTAGATAATGACATAAATCTTTGTAGTAATATAACCAAGCTCTGAGACATCACTTTGTAAAGACAAAGATAATAGAAACTACTCACAGATAGCCTATATATTTATTGCAATTTTTTATGTAAAATCGGCTTCTGTAAGAGTTTGATATTAACTAGTAATTAAGTTCAAATTAAGTTCATGTTAAAAAAACTAAATAATTATCCTGTCTTAAGATTCTTCGTTTGTGATGATATTTGCAAGCTCAGAAAAATCTTTCAATTCTTTTGTCCTTAATGTCTGAAATTCAAATTGCTACAGGCAATTCTTATTTCCGAAAGTACGTGTATTTCTTTACAGTTGCTGTTTAGGAATAAAAATTTTATATAAATTACTTTTTAAATACTGCAATAAAGCCTAAAGTTTTTGAGAAACAATGCCAAATGCCATGCCAAATAAAAATGTGCTGAAACTTAATTGGATTAAATGTGAAATAAATAACTTTTAATCGAAAACAGAAATGCAATAAATTATTTGCCATAAAATATTTTCATAAAAGCGCATTTCTGAAAAATTTGTTAATTTTATAAATTTATTGAAAAATTGATTGGATTTAAGTTACTAGATTTTTTATACGGTCCGTATAAGACTTCTCAATTCGTTTAAAGAAGACTTGCTGCCTTTAATAGGTAGCAATCTGTGTTAAAGATAAAAGTTCTAACTACATTCGGCATTTTTTATAATAAGAAAATAAAAGTCTCTTATATAGTGTCCTTATATAGCATACTTTAATATAGAGACATCATGTAAAGAAAGAAAAACAAATAATCTAAATAAACGCTGACTATAAACCCTAAACGTGGTATGTGAAAGTAGAATGTACTCTTTCATTCGCTCAAGAAATGAAAGATCATGTTTTCCAAAAACCAGCATATATATCTTATACTGGAATAGAGAATATATATATATATTATATGTAGTAGTTTTTGCTTTAAGTACGTTTCATAAAACACTTATAAAAAGATATATATACTTACTTCTAATATAAAAATATACATTATAGTTAATTAATAACAATGTTTTCAAATCAATTTATTCATTATACTATATATTGTCTCTTCTAGGTGTCAGCAAGTGATCCAGACTGCGGTGTTAACGCAATGGTTAACTATACCTTGGGTGAAGGTATTAAACATATGAAAGAATTCGAAGTGCGTTCATCATCTGGCGAAATATGTATTTCTGGAGAACTTGACTATGAAAAACGTAATTCTTACGAGTTCCCCGTGATTGCAACCGATCGAGGTAAGTTTTCTAAAGAAAATTTTTTCAATACATCTAACATACATATTAATTCTTACGTAAAATACTAGATTTAAAGATTCTTATACCCATTACTACTAGGATTCAAATAGAACAAAGATAAACCATAGAACCAAGTACAAAGTGTCTTATAAAACACAACTCTATTAAAGGTTAAAAATTCTGATAATTGACTTGACAAAGGTTTGGACTTATTTCAAAGGACTAGTATAATTCAAAAGTTTTATTTGTGTTTGGCAACAAAAAAATTAAAATTTTTCAATCGAAATATGGAACTAATGGAACTAAGAGACGCATATTTCTATAGATTGTAAAGTTAAACATCTATTCATTTTATCACTTTCAACTTTTCGATTGACAGAGAACTAACTGATCAAGGACCTACAGATATCATTGACTATTAAACGGTTTGGGATTCAAGTACCTACAAATATTATTGATTATTGTAAGGTTTGAGATCTTAGGCTAATAGATATTATTACGTTAATCATGTGGCATTATTTATCCATAGTAGTCTATAGGACTTTATTCAAGGTTAGCGCACCAAATAAATAGTTATCAAAGCCCTTCATTTAATTTTTAGCTTCGTCTTAGAAGCTTTTTCGTAAACACAACGTGGCTTGTTTAGTTTTGGATTATGTGCTTGAGTTAGTCACTGATTATAAGAGCAGCATCACTACATAATTCGTTTAAGTACTTTTCATTATCATTCCTTTCTCTCAAGTGCCTAAGTAGTTCTAAGCTCAGAGCTTAGCGTCGAAGCATAGACGTAACGAATCATTGGCTATAAAAATGAAACATCGCTTTCATTATTACATACATTCGTAGGTAATATTGCGAATTCTATACATTATGTTTGGACTTAAATAATGGTGAAACAGATTTCAGGCTAACAGTCAGTTTATTTAATTTATACTCCAACTCTAACTCATACTCTAACTGTTCATCAGTATGTTATTCGATTAAGTCGTTAGCATTAAACTTTATCAAAATTCGATCCACATAATTTGAAGAGGAATTTCATTTCCTTACAACAAGGGATGATAATCTGTTACTTCATCATATTCTTCATCATATTCAGATAGTATGCCGATGCGACTCATCAATAAACTCAACCCCAACGTTAGATCGATGCTGCTGAGAAAGAACATCTCTCTTTAGGAGAATTAGTTTCGTTTCTTGACGATTCTTGAACAATATTTTTCTGCTATTTTTGCTTCATTAAATAGAATTTTTTTTATAAGTAAGTCAAGTGTTTTTACAATTAGCCTCCAGTTCGCAAAAATATAATTTTTAACAAAATACTTTTAATGAAGTAACTTAAACTTATTAAAAGAAATATCTTTATAAATATTTTGCAAAGTTGAGAATTTCTTCAACTAAATCTTATTATTCATGTTTTAGAACATTACGAGTATTTATTATTTCTTGAATTTAGCTTAGGAACTAGACCTTATTTGATTACTTCTTTGTCATCTTCTACATTTGTTTGATTTTCTTTAAAGTATTGTCGTTTTTATTATTATTAATAAATAATGAAAAAATGTTTTTTAATCATTTATTTCATATTCTTTCAGGTGGTCTAAGTACAACGGCTATGGTTAAAATACAATTGACTGATGTTAATGATAATCGCCCAATTTTCTATCCACGCGAATATAACGTTTCGCTACGTGAAACATCGAGCGCTACCGCATCCACTATACCTATTGTTTCTGTTGTTGCAACAGATCCAGATTCAGGTCGTTTTGGTACGGTTTCATATCGCATTGTGTCCGGCAATGAGGCTGGCATATTTCGTATTGATCGTGCAACTGGTGAAATATTCATCAATCGTCCAAATATGCTATCGGGCCGCACACAACCCATGCACATGCTCAACATATCGGCCAGTGATGGCGGTGGCCTACGTACCTCAATGGATGCAGTCGTATTTCTAAGCATAATCGATGCAACACAAAGACCACCAATATTCGAGAAACCACGTTACAATTATTACGTAAAAGAGGATGTGCCACGCGGTACGGTGGTGGGTGCTGTGCTGGCAACCAGCAGCGATTCAGGTAACGAACAAAATAACCCAAAATACATTTCAGTTTCAAATTTACTAAAAACAACAACAAATGCAACAAACATAATGTATTTCTTGCATTATTTTTGGTTAAATAAAGGATATTCATATGACCAAAACAAAGATACTTCTGTGCATATTTATATGCACAAGTATTTTTTGTTGAGGTTTAACTTCTCATACCGAGAGATGCAAATTCATTAGTTCAGTGAATTGGAAACAAATATCTGCACATTTGATGGACAGCGCAGACGATTTTTATATGCAATCTTGCATTTTTTGTTATTATGGCTCAAAAATAATAAATATATAAGATAAAAATAAATATATAAAAAAGTTAAGGGCACCCTTTTAAATAAGAATATGAAAAAAATGTATTTAAATAATGTTTTGTTTAAAGAAAATTGGTTTTTTGATACACACAATGTTTTCATATAAAACACACTTACAAAATGCTTGCATTGCGCTACAGTTGGTGGAGTAGTCTACTTAGTTCCTAATAGTGTTTAGTTTTACTATAACTAAATTTAAATTTTTATGCTTATTGGTTTTGATTCTTCTCTAATATTACTTTTTCGACATTTCTATGTGTTAGTCTTGAGTCTTGAGCTTGAATGATTCTCTTTCGTAACAGACACCCCTGTTAAATTTTTTTAAAACCATATGATTATATTATTAGCATAACAGTTAAAATATACGTCCTTTTAATTTTGATTAGAAACTTTTTCTAACTATAAAATCAAAAAATATATTTTTAACATACGATCAGTTAATATTGAGCTTTCATTACTTTCCTGCTTCTTTCTTTCTTTATTCAAAATATTTTCTACATTGGAACTTAATAAAAAATCTGTATTTAATTTATCTTAAGTACATATGGACTCTCTATAAAAACTTCTGTTTCAATCCCTGCTCTTACGCCGAATTAGATTTATGTTTATTTTTTGCGACAGGCATATAGGAATTGGGCTCATATGTCCTCGGTGGACAGATCAAGAGCTTCATAACACTTTTAGTCCAATTGTAGAATTTTCGACTTAGTATGAAGAAACAAACCGGAGGTATTTAGGTCAATATCTGTTTTAAGAGAGTATTGGACTATAGATCGGCATGTAGTTAAAGTCGATTTGCTCTATAGTAACTCTTATATTATATATCTACCGGTACTTGAAGAAAAAAAATCACCAGAACATATATTGTGTCTATGTCTTTAACATACTCTGCGATATTTTCAGCAATAGCATTGGCTAGATACTTGCATTTATCAATACATCCGTCCGGTTCTAACATGATCATTTTTCTATCCACTATTACAAGGAACGTAGAACCAAAATATTTTTTACACATATGAAACCTAATAGGTTTAGTTGTTACTTTAATGATACCATTCAAGCCTTACTGTCTTAAAATGATATCGGTCCTCAGGAATTCAAATTCTTAATGAGTTGTGAAATTTTGAAATAAATTTTTTATGATGGTATTTCTCCAAAACCTTTGTTTGAAGTTTGTATGAGTTGACGAAGTCTAACACTATCGTTAATCCATGCTTACTTATGAATTAGCTGCCTTTCTAATATAAAGCGGATCTTCTAGTGAACACTAATTAATGTATAATAAATCTAAAACATTTTTATGCTATACTTATCTGACATATATCATGTTGTATAAACTTGAAAAAGATTTGGATAAATTTGAGTGACCTGATAACCCCTTCCAAATTTCTATTCAGCATTCTGCAAACATTATATATTAGTGCGATGTTATCTATTTATTTGGATAATTCTGAGCATTATTTAACAGTTGGCGCGATACACTGTAACGGACACAGATTATTCCAATTATATTAATTTACATCTGTATACACCAAAGGAATAATAAGTGTATTACTTCTAAAACTGTACCTCAATGAAGATGGGAGAAATAGTATTAATGGACGTCACATATTTAAGTATCATATATACAGTAAAACTATTGAAAGGCAATGATCAGTAAATGATTTAACCTCCTAAACATTTTTGCTTTCTGAACAAAAAGTTCCTGGTAAAATCACCAGTAGGTATTTCGTTAAGAACTCAAGATTCATTAGTTTGGTCTGTTAGTTCCAACCTTTCAACATTGAGCAGAGCCATTTTGAGTTGAGGAGGTAAATGCATTTTCGAACGTGTGTATATTACTGTGTGGACTTTTAACTGAATTACAATATTCACCATCAATTATTACTGAAATTGTGTATAAGGAGTATCTGAGCGCCCTTGCTAATTACTAGGTAGACCCGCACTTTTTTAAAATATAAATTTTATATATATTGTTTATGATTTAAACTGTTTAAGTGTATGTTCTGGTATTTTTAGTATATGATTTGTAATTTTTTATTTCTTTGTCAATAATTCTTCAGTTGATTTTTTTAACTTCATTTTTTTTTTTGCATAAATTTTAATGATCCTCTTCAAAGTTTGTATTTCGAATATTGCAATCTGTATTATATCTTATATCTTAAAGAGACTCAAATGATTTTAGTATAGAATTGATATTTAAATGAGGCAAAAATTTAAAACTTCTGCAATGACATTACAAATTTTTTTCTTTAGTCCTTTGAGTATTTCATTCTTTAAACCGAATTTTTGAAGAACTTTAATGATTCACTTTAAACTGTTAAGAAAATATTGATGAGTGAAGTGGTTTCTACAGAATTGTACCCAATTTTTATTTACTCAATATTTTTTTAAACATCTCTGCCTTGAATGTAGTACTCTAATTCTATAGAGCTCGACAATGGATTTTGGTAGTATAGGTATTGTTAATAGTTTTGGACAATGCTGCTCAACCTTGTGGAGATTTTTAGTAATTAATGCATTAATGGATTTCATATAACATATGTAACAATATATATTTGTATAATTTAATATATTTCTTTGAAATAATTTATCTAGTGTTCATTTTTTTTTCATGTTTATAGATATTTAATAAATTTTTTTTATTTATCTTTTAAAATTCTAGCAAGCCGTAACGCCGTACGTTATTCCATCTACTCTGGTGATCCTGATGGATATTTCAATATTGATCCAGTATCTGGTAATATACGTATAGCAAATCCATTGGATCACGAAATGAAATCACAAGTGTTACTTAATATACAAGCAACTAGCGGAGAACCACCTGTGTATGGACACACTCAGGTAGGCTTAAAGAAACTTATCATTCAATATAAATTGATAACAAATGATTTTAGAAAGCAGGCCTGTACAAATATATCTAGTTAGTTTTGCAGTATTTAGTTTTTAAAAATAATATATTAAAAATAATTTGTAAAATATATAATATTGTATGGCATATGTAAACAATTTCTAAATTTATCTTAAGTGTAAGGCAAAAATCATATACCTCTTTGAGTTCGAATATAAATGTTGGCCATCTACAGATTAATGTCTCCAGCCTCTTTACTATCTGCTGTTTACTTGTAGTATTTCTACAAGTAATCGTATTCTTACATGAGGGCAATTACAAACTAACTTATTTCTGTTGAAGAAATGGCTACTTCCATGACGTATAAAAATTTAAGTATCGCTATATCATTCTCTTCTTCATTAAGGGCACCTACTCTAAATTCACATCTATAATGTTACCTGTCTGCGCATTCACTTAGATACATGACTAACCTGGAGTAACCATATAGAAGCAGAAAAGAAAATTAACCAATTTACCTACACTAGCTACCAATAGTTAAACTCTTGTATATTTAGAGTATATAGTCCTCTTTTACTAAACTATCACCTTAAAGCCCATTTGGACATATAGGCTTTAATTTTTAAATAATTTTAGATATATTAAAATGTAGAAAATTTACCAGAAAATCGCTAGAATTACAATACCGTATTATATCAAAAACGAAAACAATCGCAAGGATCTACTATATCTAAAGAATGGTAAAATCTCATTTCGAAGAAAACTGAAATAAAATATGTAGATATGTTAACTAGTTATAATAACAAGACGCTCTTGTTAAAAAAAAAAACAGACCATCCAGTCATATATCAGTACCTATTCTAACTCAATTTGGAATTTTTTTTTATGGCTTGATCTTTAACTCGTTTTAAGTATATAGGAATAATAAGAAATAAGTAAGGCCCATGACTGAAAAATCTATTATATATAATTTTTAGTCATTTACAAGATAATTCGAAATGTATTAGAAATATAGAAATTTAAAGATTTAATAAAAACGGATTAAATAACTTTATTATAGGTTAAAAAAAATAATATTTTTACAGTCGGGTACAGTATTTCTATTTCATACATAGGAGCTTATTAGGAAGTATGTATACGCTATTATTTATTCTTATATATTATATTTTTATAATATATATACATACATATATTTTTTTTTGTATGTAATAATTTTTGTTATTATTACTAAAATATATATATATGCATTTATATATATATATATATATATTTATAAAGATATATATATATATCTTTATAAATAAATTTTTTTTGTGTATTTAAATAACATTATTTCCCTCTTTAATTTTTCATCACAGGTCAACATTGACATTGAAGATGTGAACGATAATGCGCCAGAATTCGAGACTAGCATGGTACGTATATCTGTGCCAGAGAATGTTGAGTTGGGTACACCTCTATATGCTGCACATGCAAATGATAAGGACTCCGGCAAGAGTGGTGAAGTAACATACAGTTTAACAATGCTGACAGAGCAAATACCAACCAATGCCACAGTAGGAACACATTTAATGTCATACCAACAGCAACTACAGCAGCAACAGTCAAACAGTTTAACCACATCAACAACACTTGCACTGGGAAATGGTAATCGTCCCTATGCAGCGGCTGCAATTGGTATGGCAACTGCAGGCACTGGCAGTGGTACTGGCACTTCAAGTGTAACTAGCGCTTCTGCTATTGCAGCCACTGCATCTGCATATGCAATGCGTTCATATATGACAGCGGCGGTGCCCAGCAGTGCGACTTCTGCAATTGTTGCCTTGCAGCAAAATCTATTTGCAATCGATGCACGTTCAGGCCACCTAACATTGTCACGACATTTGGACTATGAGACATCACAGCGACATTCGTTAATTGTCACTGCCACAGATGCCGGTGTACCGCCTTTATCTGCAAATTTAACAATATTAGTTGAGGTACAGGATGTCAATGATAATCCACCGATATTCGAACGAAATGAATATACGGTGAAGGTGTTGGAATCGTTGCCAATTAATTCTCAGGTAAACATATACAAATGCAAAGACTCACTCTCACGTCTTTCTATTAACATTTTAAGGAAATAATTTTTTTTAGGCTATCGAAATAGGCTATTGAAATTCTTCTTGAAGTTTTTTTTTTTCAATATTTTGTTTTTTTGATTTTTGGTTTAAAATCAATATATAATAGATGAATCCTTTTTTTATTATTACAATTCATTTTTAATGGTATAAACCAAAGAGAATAAATATATAAATGAAATTAGCTTCGTGTATTATATGTGCGTTCTGTCCAGTTATGTTAATAACTTTATAAATAATTTTTCATTAATCTTATTAACAACCACTAAAAATCACGCTCTTGCCCAGGCGTCACATCACATTTAAAATATCTTAACTACTGAATGCGCCAACGGCTTAAATAAACTTATCGAAGCTACTGAGCTATATATACGTTACGTCCCATTATTGTTGTTATTTTCATTATCATTATTATTATTATTATTATCTTTATCATTATCGTTATCATTATCATTATCATTACCGTTTTCCAGCAATACTTTAAAATCGTTCCATATCTCAGAATCCATTCGTCAGCTGCTGGGCTAGTTATGGGGATACCATATTCATTTTTAAGTTATTTTCCTTTCCACTTCAGCTTCTGTTGCTGTTGTTGTTGTTGTTGTTGTTGTTGTTACTGCTCTCGATGTTGTTGTTCCTGTGCCTAAACATCTCTGTAGATATGCGCTTGACCACGCGTCTATGTAAGAATAATACTGATGCTAAGATTGATGACCAGTAAACAAGTTTAGATATTTTTTAATCGTTATTAAGGTGATTTTAAAATTGTTACTCTTTTTATTTCTTTGAATATACATCGAACTGTTGGTAAACAGCAGACATGTGAGGAGACAGGAGAAGAAAGAGAAATATAAAATTATTAAAAAGACATTAAATTCGGAAGATAAAATAATAAAAAATAATAAAGCTTTTATTATCGGAAAAAGATAATACGGGTACAGTACAAAGGCACGACTCTTTTACATGGACGTCTGAAATTTCGCCTTGCATAATGATAGATTATTAAGACCAGATTATAATCGAAAATTCCCCATAATTCCAAAAAAAGCTATATATTTCAAACTCATAATTTATTTGATATTTTTAGTAGGTTATTCCACTGCTATTTGTGAAATTTTTAAGATTTTAAATTGTAGTATAATACGATTTTGAATTTATATTTATGATTTTTTCTTAACAAGTAGTAGAAACCTTTTCAAATATTGTGAACGCTGATTCTAAGCTTCAAATTTGGCAGGGCACGACTTCAACCCTTGGTAGTTGCAGTCTCAGAAAAATTATTTACAAATAATTAAGTACACGAAATAGTTCCATGACCACTGACCATGGGTATTTGGCAATACTCGAAATAGCAAAAATTCAATTAATTAATTTTTCGAAATCTCTCTAATAATTATTTTTAAAAAATATGATATAAAACAAATTTAAATTTTTTTTTTGTGAGTTTTCTTTTAAAACTCTTATATACATAAAGCTTGCATGATATTAAGTGTGAAACTTTTCGTAGCTGTTTTTTTTCTTTCAAATTTTTTAAATATTTATTATTTTCGGTCTCTGAGTTTGTATGTTTGGAACATGATTTTTAATCAGTCAAACTTTATTGCTTTATAATTTATTCAACTTTTGTCATATAGGTACTCTCTGATGAGGGCATAATCATTTACTCTTTAATGTAGTTTCTCTTCTTTTGCATCTCATTTTCTTGCTCTCATTCTCTCTCTTTACAAAATTAAATTAATACAGAACTAGAGTATAGTATTTAACTAGTACATCTGCATTTTTATTTCCTTGTATTCTCCGGTGTCCTTGAATCCAGAATAATGTTATTGTGCATTAATCACTCACTGATCTCAGTTTAATATTTTGCTGCTTGACAGCTTTTACTTTTGTATTATGGTCAGACAATGTGATAATAGCAACTGTACAGTCGAAGTATAATGCAATCTGCTAATCTCGTAAATTCTTTTTTGAAGTTAATCGATACCGAATCGATCAAAAACCAGCACTAGGGAGCTACTACTGCTGAACAGAAGTGGGGTCCGACTTGTCACGGGGTTTCTCACTGTGCATTGCGAAGATGATAGCTGCAGACTTTGTTACGAAGAAGAGGGAACAGCAGAACACATTCTGTGTCACTGTGATAGTCTCGCCAGACTCAGACTTCGGTACTTTTCAACTGCTTATTCACTTATAACAGAATTAGGTAACATCTCTCCAAAGAACATAATGGTGCTCTTAACTCCTACTCGTCTATGGAACGTGGGTGTATCACAATAATCCTTAAAGGATGCAGTGACGTGGTAACAAGTTACTAACCCTTTTAAAATCTGATCTAATCTAATCTAATCTTGTCGAGTTGCCTCCTTGATAGTAAAGGTTTTGGCTTGGAAGGCACTAGTTGAACTTTTAAGATGAAACGGTCATTTTATGTGCTTTTGAGGTAAGATAATTACTGCGGCCAATCCATATTCAAACATCAAACTGACCGTGATGTGATATGGCTGTGATAATTTGTTATGTGCTTTTGAGATAAGAAAGCTCACAATTATTCATTCTGTCAGGTTTTTTTAAATGTATGTTTTAGTATTACTATTGACTTTAAGGGATTCCACACCGAATTTTTAATGATTTGTTTATACAAAATCACAGATTAAAGTAAATTCATATTTAATATGTGCATATGAGAATTACAAGGTTAATATAGGTTTATTAAATCCATTTTTAATTAATAGGAAAAATTTAATAAATAATATTTATTTTTTGATAATTGAAATTGCAACTCTAGTCTACTTAAACTAATTAGCAATTATAAATAAATGAAAAACAAATTTACAATACAAAATTTCGCTCCATTCAGCTTCACTCCACTCCACACCATTCCACATCACTCCACTCCACTCCGCTCCACTGGAAAGCCTTTTTCACTTAATTCGTTAAATACAAATTGTCTTGAAAAAAAATATTGACATGTGGGAAAAATATTTGAAATAAAAGAGTACAATGCATTTGTTCATTGTTTTAAAAACAGAAAATTTAAGAAACTAAAATAACAAAAGAAATAAAAGACAAAAAAAAAAAGTAAACTAAAATAAATAAAGAAATAAAAAAGAATTGCTAAACGTCCGATATAAATCACTCAATTGCAATTTAAGTTGTTGCTGATCGTATGCGACATGTTGACAAGCCCGTTTCATTCTTTTACTTCGGTTTTTTATTTGAATTTCTGTTCATTCTTTTAGTCTTTGTAGATATCGCTTAGCGAAGTCCTGAAAAAATGAATCAATTGCCAGAGATTTACATTTGGGTTAAAAATGCACATTCGAAACGCAGAGAAGCAATGGCTAGCCTGCCATCCTTTCGCAATATATATTTCTTTAATTGGATGCCACCAAAATATGTGTTAATCTTAATAACCTCCAAAATACATTGACTAAAATGCAAAAGATATCAGAATAGAAATACGTATATATATAACACATATCACATATATAATATTATATATAATAGCTTGACCAAAATTTCTGTTATTCCATCATATACATACAAACAAATTTTCAAGGAGTGGTCACTTTAGTCGAATTTATGAAGAAATACATAAAACTTCGATTTAGAAGAATGATTAATACTACATGAAAAACAATTTTCTATGGAGCTTGTATAGTCTGGAAGAAAAAGGATATAGCTAAGAGCAAGAAAAAATAGCGTGCGTTATGCGGACGACACACTTATTTTTGGGATCCAATGAAAGTGAGCGCACTCTACTGTTGAAGAAATTGACATCCTTAAGTCGGCGCTATGGACCAAAATAAAAGTTATGATAGTTGACAGACAAAATAGCAACCAGCCAAATGTAACGACGATTGCAGGATTCGTGGAAAGAAATCAAACATCGTATAGCAATGACAAGATCAGCAACCATAAAACTTATAAAAACCTATAAAATATGAATAGATAGAACTACCATATAATAAAATCAAATCTATAAAGCTTCGACTTGTAAACGCCTTGGTATTTTCTATAGCTACCTATGCAGCCACAACATGAACCGTAAAAAAATCGAAAAGACAGGAGATTGAGGCCTTCGAACTGTGGGTCTATCGAAGAGTATTAAGTATTCCATGGACTGCCCATCGAACCAACGTCTCTGTAGTCGAAGAATTAAAAGTAAATAACATGCTTATGAAAATGATTTTCATCTCATATTTAACTTACTTTGGTCACGTAGCGAGGCGATCAGAAACTCTGGAACAACTGATTGTAGAGGAAAAAGTAAGCGGAAGCAGAGGACATGAACGGTCCTCTACACGTTGGGTAAATCAATTACAATATCTTTTTGGAAAAACGATGAAAGAAGTGAGACACACTGCGTAAGATCGAACAACATGGCACACTGAAAGAAAAAATGTGCATTTATAATACGCCAACTCGCTCTGTCAAGAGCAAAGGATTGAGAAGGAAGGAGTGTAATACGAACTATCGGCATTAATAGAGTGATTATGGTTGGGCTGATAAAACATTTCAATGCAGCTGTAGCAAAATTAATGCTTTCTTCATTTAAATTTCCATATTACATTTAACATCATAATCTAATCTAAGTTTATGCAAAGAAGGTTTTTCCAATATCATCAGGTCTGACGCTGATGTTAACTAATCTTTATTTACTTGCAAACCCAGAGCAGTGATTCCCAACGTTTTATTGACCAAGAATCACTATGATATTTTTGTTTTAAGTAGGAATCACTTAAACTATAATAATTGTTGAGCTGACTACACAACTATTTTAGATATCGTTCAGGTTCAAAATTTACAGGATTAAATTTCTTGACATTTGCTTCCAAAAAATTATTTACGGACAACTAACCCAGAAGATTACTGATTATGGATATTTGGCGATATCTGAAACAACTGTAGGATTAGCCTAAGAATTTGCTTGATTTAAAAAATTTCTGCTGAATTTGATGATATTTTCTTCACTGCGATTAGATCGATCCATTTTTCCAACCCAAATAGATTATTTGTCAGAGGATATAAAATCCTTAAGAAAGAAAGGTGATTATGTGCCCAAAATTGTATTTTGGAATGAATGAAAGTCCATTGCTTTTTGATATCAAAGGAATGCATGAATTTATGTACATATATATTAGTACTTACATAGAGTAACATATATATTAATTCACATTTTATTATTTATTTTTATTACTTAATTTTAAAATATTATTAAACCAATGAAACCAATATTATGACAAATCGAATAGAACGGACCTTACATTAACCACAGACTAGTTTCCGTATAAATCGCTCATGTGTAGATCATGTAATCTTGGGTATGTAATGTAAACTGACAGCCGTTATTGCACATTTGCTGCACCAAACAACCAAGAACGAGCGATTCGAACATTGCATTTCTGATATCATGTTCTGATGCACACTGGTACAAGGACTGCCTGTGATGCTCCGTTGCTCTGATGCTCCAATGCACCGATGCACCGATGCACCGATGCTTCAATGCATCGATGCTCTGTTGCTCCGATGATGTTCAGATGTTCTGAAGCTGAAGCTGAAGCTCCATAATATCGGTGTTGCCTTGTGCTTAGAAGTAAGAAATTAAAATAAAAATAAAGCAAACAAATAATAAAAATAACAAATAAAAATTCCTTAAAAACTAATTAATATTATAAAGGCTCTTTATGATGGATTAAAGTGCCGCACTTTTTATATTATATATATTTATTATATTGTGCCTATGATGCTCTGATGCTATGATGCTATGATGCTATGATGCTATGATGCAATGATGCAATGATGCTGTTCCGAGCCAGGCGCTCCACTGCTCGAGTATAGTTAGCGCTCATATGCAAAATAATGTTTATGGTAGGAGAAACGAAGTCATTGTCCCCAATTGCATTAGAACGTGAGTAAAGCAAATGTTTTAAGACAGAAAGCCACTTTTCGCTTCGCTGAACTGTATGAAGGCTACATATTTTTAACAGCAACGTTATACTTGGCTAATTATCAATTATTTTATTTTTATTAAGTTGTATTTAATATTAAAATTTTTTCATATTTAAATTTTTCATATTTAGTTCTTTCTTTTTCTTTTTTTTTTTTTTTTTGTAATCTTTTTTTCATTTCTATTTGAATTAATATAATTTCCAAACATTTGAGTGCCGCCTTTGAAGTGCATGTGCTGTATGTTAGCATTAGCCTGGCAACAGATCAGCTGAAAGTTGTTAGGATTTGCGGATACGCTGACTGACAAATTGATGGATACAAAGCGGTTCTGACAAGATTATTTCATTTTATTTTATTTATTTTAATCATTAAAGAAAATGTACTAGAGCTTTGAAAATAACTCATAACGCAGCATTAAATATAAACATAGGTCATACAAGGCCATTGGGGTACAAGGCCTATGGGGTAAAAAGAGCAATTCCGATATCGAAATGTTCCTTCAATTACTTTTAGATCCATTGTTTATGATTCTTTTAATATTTCTAACAAACAAATACATTTATATCTTAAGATTTCTAAGGTTACAGAGGATATTAAAGGTTATAGTTGTATTGAAAAACTTGCAAGATCTTCAAATATAATTAATTTCAGTCGATTAGATCTAAAACAGTTAGTTGTGGCTATGGAGTTTTCTCAGAAGGACTGAATAAATCTTTTTACTATATGCTTTCTGGTCATTGAAGTGTTTTTCAGGCGGAGGTGATCGACATTATGGAAGCTATAGCTTGCACGAAAGTGAAAGATATATTTAATAGGAATACAGGGTGTCTCACGAAAATTACAACAAAGTAAATTGCTCTATTTTGTTAATTTTTGTTAAATTTAATGAAGGATAAATGAAAATACATATGCCAAAAAAAGAACCTTTAAACGGCCAATGATTGCACGCTCTCCGCAAAAAGCTTTGAGGTATTTTGGTCTATTTTCGGCTTAGCGTTTAAAGTGCTAACCTTAGTTTTTGAAATATCCCAAACCGAGCAATCTAAAGGATTTATATCAGATGAACACGGTGGCCACTGTGTTTTTATTATGTCCCATAAAAAAATCAGAGGAATAAAACACAGAGCATTGTTCTTCAGATATTCTTGGTTGACACGTGGTGCTGAATCCTGTTGGAGTGTTCAACGCCTGCGATCGAAATGCTCATCTGCCCAGGGCTTTAAAACTTCCTTTAAAATAATTTCGTCATAGATTTGGGTATTTTTTTTTACCCCACGGTGGACGAACACAAGCGAAAAATGACCATCGGTCATTACGGCGGCCCACACCATCACGATCGGTGGAGCTTGCTTTCCGGCGGTCTAATATAAATCGCACTATCAAGTCTGAACTCCATACAACTTTTTTTCTATAATAAAAAAATCAAAATGCCTTCGTACGCTTGTGAACAAGAGAATGAACTGTCAAATGAATTAGTTTTAAGCTTTCGGTCATTATTGGTTTGACAGCTATATCAGTGCAAAGAGTGTTGCAATTTTCATCAGCCACCCTGTATATACATACACCTTATCCGTTTAAATGGAAGGGAACTTCAGCCACGTGCCTGAAACATCAGAAGTATTGCTCGTAGTTTTAAAATATTTATGCCTTTCTTCTTTATTATAGAACTTCATTATTATAATCTTATACTGGGCATGTATAAAGATAATTCATAAATTTGATTATAGTCGTTAAGATAGATTCGAAATTAAAGTAGATAACGTAAAGAAATGTTTTCTTGTTTTATTTTCCTATTACTTTTTTTTTTAGTAGCATTCTTTAATATTAGCAAAAAATTATAAATGCGATTATTTTTAATATGAAAAACTTTACAACGATTTTTTATGATTTCCTTATACAGACAGACTGTTGGTGCAACCTAATTTCGTACATAATCTGTAATGCAGCATCTTTAAATTTAATATTATTAATTTTAGTGGCCCAATTTGAAAATTTCTTTCCTTCTATTTTTTTTTTCTACTTTGGAATTTTAACTTTCCCTACAGTCACAACAGCTCGCATACCTTTTACCATGGCTCGGCTTTAATCTCAGTCTCAGTCTCAGTCTTAGTCTGAGACTTAGTCTCAGCCACTTTGAATAAGTTCAAGCGTATAGCCAAAAATGAATTGTTTATTGAAATCTATTAAAACTTTCTACGAAGTTAATTTAAAATCTTGAAATTTATTCAATTATTTGCAAAACTATAAAAAAATTCAAAAGATGCATAAGAGAAAAGGTCTTCAAAATCTGAATACAAAATAAATTAAAAGAAAACCCAAATGAAAAACTTAAATATTTTCATTTTCCATTAAAAAAAATTCAAGCGAAGTAAAGTAAAAAAAAGCAGATACCCGACTTCAAATGAAGTAAAACAAACAAATTGAGGTCTCCACCAGGTCCAATAATTGTGAAAAACAAAAAAATTACCCACAATACAGCGGTGGTCAATGGGTTAATTGTGCTGCGACAAAAAAGCTATGAAGTGCACACAAAAAAAATTACTCAAATTATATTTCGCGTAAAAAGTTAGTAAAGAAAAAAAATAAGAAATTGTAATTTAAATAAATTTTTCAGTATAATTAAAATTTATAGTGAAAGTTGATTTTAAAACACAAACAATTTTAATTCTAATTTCTTAATCTGTTCTTTTCTGCTGTTTACAGATACTGCAAGTCACAGCTGTCGATTCGGATACCGGAAACAACGCACGCATTACATATCGCATTGTCAACAATAACAGCAGCGTTACAAGTTCCGCCAAGAGCTCGAATACAGCCAACGGTGGAAAAGTTAGCACAACCACTACACTACCAACATTTGGCACGCCCATTGATAATGAGATTGCGCAATTGTTTGGTATTTTTCCGAATAGTGGTTGGATTTATTTACGTGGTCCACTTGATCGAGAGACTCGCGATCACTATGAACTGATCGTTATGGCCAGCGATAACGGCACTCCCGCTGCACATGCCCGTACGCGTGTAATCGTCAATATCTTAGATACTAATGATAATGATCCACAGTTTTTGCGTGACGCATATGAGTTTGCTATTGAGGAGAATATGCGACGTGGTTCACTAGTCGGTGTTATAGGTGCTACTGACTTAGATCTGGATGAGAATGCTGCCATTCGTTATAGTCTCATACCAACAAATTCGAGTTTTCAAGTGAATCCTGTAACAGGTAAGCTACATAAAAAAAAAACAAATTAATAATTATAGCTTAAATGATATAGTATCGAAGTAGTCTAACAATTATAATTATGACAGTTAATTTTATTTATTTATAGCTGTGGTTTATGGTTTCGCTCTCAATTAGTAATTGCTGTTGTTGTTCGAAAGAAAACAGTAAAACTAACAAAAAAATAATTAGAATTCGAACAACATAGGAATTTGTATGGTCAGCCAAACTTCAATAAATTAACTACAATTTTTGTTGTTGTCTTTTCATTTTTATTCGAACCCTTTTAACTTTCAAATAGTTTGTTTTCGTAATGAAGTGCGTCACTTTCGACAAAAAAATTAATATCGAACAACATAGTTTTATGAATTTAAAAGTCGAAGTAGCCCGACATAATTGTATGATGCTTTGAACCAATAATGATTTTGAGAGACTAATAAAGACAGAGCATAATAATAAAAAAGAGAGAGTTATATTGTATTATTATTCGCTAATGATTTAAATTTTATTTGAATCTAATCAAATTTTATATAATTTTATTCCATGCTTCGATTATTCCAATGTACTAGTATGCCTGTGCATATTAAAAAAAAACAAATCTCTTCAACTATAGAAAGTAGTTGCGCTAAGAACCAGACCCATAAACACCCCATATAATGGAAATTAATTAGAATTGCGATACGTACAATTTTCTTATTATTTTGATTAACTTGGTGCTTTCACGTGAGAAGAAAGCACTAAAATGCGCTACTGATCTTCGTTTTCGAGTGCTCTTCATTGATCTTCAATGAGTTAACTAATGTACATATTCCAAAATATCAGAACCTTACCGGCTATCATTTGGATTTTAGTTTACATTAGACGTTTTGCGTCGATTGTTATCTATTAAGCTGACAGTCGATTTGACACATCCATGTTTCATCCATTGCCATAGTTTGTATGAAAAAATTCATGTTATTCAGATACTGGGTATCGACTTCAAGCAAGACTTTCTGACAAATATTCATGTTCATATCAGCTATGTCAAACAACTTAAATTTTAAATGAGTCAATTATATTTTTTTTAAAGTATTAAATTTTTAAATTACTTCTTTTACATTTCATTTATATCACAAATTCTAAAAAAGCCACTATGCTATATAACTCTTGTTAGTCCTTCGCATCTCCGTATAATTTTTCCAACAATCATTATTTGCTTAGCGTTCAGTCACTTTTCATTTTCGATCCAATCGCCGTCTGGTCACTTCCCAGTAACTACCAATTGTTGTCCGATTGCTATTCAATTGTCATGAAGTCAACCGCTGATTATCATTAAAAATCGAGATATACTCTTTGAGGATTGTAACCTTTTTAAAATCATATGAATTTAACATGAATAATGGGATCTTATGGGCAGCATAAGATCAGACCCAGTTACATTCCATTTGCCGCTCGTTCGCCGTCTGGTCGCTTTCCAGTCACTACCAATAGTAGACGGAGTGCTATCCAACTATCACCAAGTCAACCTCTGATTGTTATCAAATATGGAGAAATACACTTTGAAGATTGTAACTTTTATGAGATCATACGAATTTAACATGAATTATAGGATCTTATGGGCGGCATAAGACCACACCCAGTCATATTCCAATAGTAGACGGATTGCTATCCAATTGCCACTAAGTCAACTTCTTATTATCTTTAAATATCGAGAAGTACTCGAGGATCGTGGATTGTAACTTTTTTAAAATCATGCGAATTTAATATGAATAGCGGGGTCTTGTGACTCTGTAAACTTTTTGGGTAACTTTTTCAGTTAATGCACTTTACAATTATACAACGAAATCAAAAATCTTCTGACCTTTAATTGTTTAAGTTTTAAAACTTTTATAATTAATTTAATTTGTTATTTAAATGTATCAGAATTTAATCATGGGAGACAAAAACAATAATAAAAGGAATAGACAGACTTTAACACTTGATTGATGTAATATCGTGAAAGAAATACAGTAAAGTACAGTAAATTATTGGATTAATTTAATTCTATTATAAATGTATGAAAAAAGCTCTAAATTTGATTTATATTATTGTGTGATCATATTAAGAAGTGCCTATGCATTAATGAGACACTTGCAATTCTCCTATGCTTTGGTTGTTGTGGATTCGAGGCAGGCATTTAGCGTAAAATCAGTATTAACTTTTTTATTTAATACTATGCTTACCTACAGTTGCATTGCCAGTTCTTACAACAAATGTTGCTGCTAATCCTTTTAGCATAAATTAATGTCACTTTTGTTACATGTGCTATAAGTAAGAGAAGATCATATGAAACAATTTCTAACAACTTACTTAAATGTATTAAACCAAAGTAACAAGATTTACAAAGGCTTTCAGTAGCGAACGTCAAGATAACAAACATGACCCATGGTCATTCATTATTGTTCTACTTTCATTAAAAAAACAAACAAATAAATACAAATTTATATCTAAAAACATATACCCTTGCACGTACATATATGTTAATATAACTGAACGTTTACATATATGCGTATATTCATATATACCATATACATGTAGTACGTCTATGTCTGTTTAGACTGCCTGTATATAATGCAAAAATCTGTATGCAAGATTTTTATGGCATTCATAGATCAGACCGTAAAGTTGTAAACCTGTTGTGTGTTTACGCTAGGCACACAATGAGATGCGATCAAATTCAATCTGCCGTGATACAATGAACAATTCTAAAGTGCAATATGTGCAAGCGAAACCAAGTCAAGCCAAGTCAATCTAAACGAAACCATAACACAACAACATACCAATCCAATCCGTACCAAACCAAATGCACCGATCCAATATGAAGTGGATCAAATCGCAGATGCCATCAAATTGTGTAGAATATCTACACTTAACTTCAAATAAATAGATATAGAGGTATGCATTTTTATCTAAGAGCGAGTGAGTTAGTTACATAGTCAGACAAACATACACATATGTAGCTAGATACTTTTATGGCGAACGTATTTTTAGTGTTTGAAAAACAACAGTTTTGATGCTGTCAAGTCATCCGTCAATTGAATGTCACCAATGATGGCATTTTGTGGCCACTGTGTGTGCGGTTCCTATTCGAATATCGCACAGTATTAACATGAAACATGAAAACCTATTTATATTTCAGTATTATCAACAATTTCTTTCCTATTCAATCATACAATCATACAATCATACAACTATATATACAACATATATAGTGTATGTCACATATGCAATACATTGTTTCATTTTTTATGTATATTATTTGCAAGAATTTTTCATTTTGCAGTTGTACACCAGACGTTCAGAGAGCCCATTCAATGTCAAAATATTAAACAGTAGCGACAAGTATTACATATACGTATACTCGCATTTCAATTTAATATGCAAATCGCATAAGATTGGCTTATCCTGAATCTTATTTTGAGCTTTAACGCATGCCCGCTTACGCTTCTCCGCTTAAACTAGTCCAGTCAGTATTTTGATATGTATGTAGAAAGACTTTATTTAGAGATTCTCCTACCGTACTCACACTTTACCCGACTACGTCATAATGCCGTCAATTAACCGTTTAATAGAGGAGCATTTAACGTTTTCACAATAAAGTATGAATTACGCTTAATTATTTTGTTCGGCATTATCTGACGTACATTGTGACCGAAAAGTTTCCGGAAATTTTAAATAAAACGCAAAATTCTTAATCTTCATCAATATTTATTTTATCTCCTTCAAAATATGCTCCATTAGAAGCGATACACAAATGCCAACGTTTTCTTCCAATCATCAAAACATTTTTTATAGGCGCTTTCCGGTATGGCTTTGAGTTCCCTCTGCGAATTCTGTTTTACGTCTTCTATGGATTCAAAACGCGTTCCTCTGAGTGGTAATTTGAGGTTGGGAAACAGGAAAAAGTCACACGGTGCAAGATCAGGTGAATACGGTGGCTGTTCGATGGTATTTATTGAATGTTTGGCCTTAAAATCGTTGATAATGTTGAACAAATTGAGGTGAATCGGAACAAGCCGGGCGTTGACACGTCGCATACACAAATTGTCCACCAAAATCAAACGAGCCATCTCACGACCGATGCCTAGCTCTCGTGCTATCTCTCTAACACTCACATGAGGATTTTTGAACACGATTTCCTTTGCCTTTTCAATGTTTTCGTCGGTGGTAGAGGTCGAAGGTCGTCCAGAACGCGGCATGTCTTCGACGGTCGTACGACAGTCCTGAAAGGCTTTGTACCACTCATAAACTTGAGTTTTCGATAAAACTGATTCCCCATAAGCCTTTTGTAGCATTCGCAACGATTCTGCACACGAAATTTCGTTCGAAAAACAAAATTTGATGCAAACTCTTTGTTCAATATTTTTTTCCATTGTTTTTTTCGCAACGCACTACTGAGGTGAACTGGTTTCAACAGCTGCCGTAAACGAACTGTCCGACAGATCGCGCTCATTTTTGGCATAGTAATTAAGGACAGTGCTGCCAAACTACATAAACTTAAAATATCGAAAAATATACAGCGCGCGAATTTTAAATGAGAATTTCCGAAAAATTTTCGGTCACAATGTATCATAAAGTCTCAGAAATATATAATGATTTCCCATATCTAAAAAGGTTTAAACCTTTTATGTGAGAAGTAATACCACACTGTTTAAAATTTTCGAATTATAGTTTAGTAAAACTTTATATTCGTTTTCATTTCACATTTTTTTTCAATATGTCTATTTTATTTATTGAATCTCTTTTATAAGAAGAATTTCTATAAATATTCAAATCTTAAAAAACTAAAGCAAACAAATTAACCGACAACTATAATTGGAGTTAATCGATAATAATTAAAGTTAATAGCTAGTAATTAAAGTATCATTAAAGCTTTGACGTGAAATAGCCCAGCAGCCAGTACTCCGGCTAGAAGAGTCCTATTTTACCAATTTCATTATTGATTACACAAAGCCCTTTATAGCTTTCTGAACAAAGTCCAGAACTAAATCTAGAGAAGAGCTCTTAATCTGTTATGGTGACAGAAATTTCATACGAAACAAGTTTCTGGAAACCTAGCCAGACACAAAGAATATGCATAGTAGTTTCTTCATCTTCGTGGATAATCTGTGTTTCGAATTAACAGATAATCAGGGCTTATAAAGGTGATATTTCAGAATATAATGACCTGTAATGAAACCCGTTATCAACCTTAAATAACATTTTGAGAATTTAAGGATATTTTTGTAGGAGTACAGTTTTATCAGTTTTATGCTTTGCTTTGTCCAGGAAAGACTTCCCAGTACTCCACCCATATAAGATTTTCCCTCTTTTAGTAACTAAAGTAAATTAAAGTTCAATTTAAGTTGATAATTTAATAAATATATGAAAGTAAAAAAAAAAATCAGTGCGTTGGTACGTCTTTTTTACGTGATCTTGAAGAAGGCCGAGCGTTGGTACGTCTTTCTACGTGATCTTGAAGAAGACCGGGTTACCAGTTCGGTTCGGATGAATTTCAAATTTTTGTTTGTACTTGCATTTGATTTTAATGAGTTCATCTTTGATGAGTGGTATTTTCAGATCTGAATGAATTTTAACGCTTCTTTTAACACTCCTATAATGTATTATCCTACATTGTATTGCCTGAGTAATCATTGTTGGAAAACAAATAAGTAACCCAAGGCTCAAGTCTTTTCAGAATTTCAATCAAATAGTATTGGAGTAAAATTGTGGAACGGTGTCGACAAGCAGTATGATTGTATATATATGTTTTTATATGTTCAATATCGGGGAACTATTAAATTATTTAATTATGATCCTTATCTAAAGTCGCCATATATTAACTACAAGTCAATCTGAAATTTTAAATTTCTAATCACTAGGTCTAACCCATAAGGACTATTTTGTAAAGTTGAAAGTGAGTATAAATTCTCTTTCGAGTATTTTAAAGAAAAATATGTTAATATACAACATTTGGATCAGGTTTTGATATACAACATTTGGATCAGGTTTTGATATACAACACTAGTGTTCAGAACCTTAAGCAACGAGGAAAATGGCTTAGATACATTTACTAGCAACTTGTTATGCTGTTCTAATACTATTAGGTGTTATCAAGATCGTGATATAAACGTTTTTGGCTGGCCATACAGTTATTTTTAGTGTTGACAAATACCCATCATCATATGTTATTTGGTTTAATAAGTTCATGTACTATATAATTGTTGGACTACAAGTGTCAGGCTTTTCAAATAATTAAAAATAAAGTTTTATAGTTGTGATATATTACTATTTAAAAACTCTTTTATTTTAATATAATAGCTTCCTTTTGTTACAATTGACCTTAAAAATTGTATTAAAATAACTTCAATTTTATTGATAATATTAAAATTTAGGTTTATACTTCTATTTGATCACCTGCAAATTAAATACAAACATTAATCTCTTATTTATTTCGAATAATTATTTGATTTTTTATTTAAACACAACATTTTTAATATAGTGTCTTTTTAACAGCAGCGAATTGCTATTTGGACAGCCAAAAATTCAATTAAAACTAATAAAATTTTGTTGTTTCAATTCACTACTCTTCAAAAACTTTTCTATTAAAAATGAAGAATAATTTATTAAATAAGGTAATAAAAATAAATAAGTTAAATAATGGGATTAATAAGATAAAAAATAATAAAAGAATGAAGAATAATTTTAATTAATAAATTTAAATTAATTAATCTTTAATTAGTTTTATTGTATAAATTATTAAAACAATAAATTAAACAAACAAAAAGTAACTAGTTATTAAGTAACTAACAAAGCAATTTACATGTAAGCCGTGTGCGAGAAGGGATTGTACACTACGACCTAAAAGATCTATTGTGCCCCTTACTCGGGTTAGAGGGTTTCTCCAAGTCCAATTTCATTAATGAAAGAATGTATAGAGCTTACCTTTCCATGTCTTGAATACTTACGATCCTTGAAATATCCTCCAAAGTGTTTCTTCCGCTTTTGTATCAGTGCCGGGCACTCCTAAAGCACATGACACACAATTTGTCTCTCTTCTCTACAGTATCTGCAGTCTGAGTTTGATTGAGTTTCATTGAATTTGATTGAAATTGAGGTAAAATAAATTAAAATTTCCTAGAGATTTTTTGCACTGCACTTATGTAAATATTTATTTATTTATTTATTTTAAGTTAAAACTTTTCAAATTTATTTATTTATTTCCTAAACATTTTATAAAATTTTTACAATGATAACATCTAATTTTAATCTAATTTCCTCTATTCGAAATTCTGGTAAATACCAACATTCGCTGCCATACCGACATAATTTACTATTTCCTTTAATTTAACATCAATTTACTCGAACTCGCACACGGCCTTAATTAGATTTAGACGGTTTCACGCAACATTAAATAAATTAAATTAATTTTAATAATAATTAAAAATTTTAATTTATAATTACAATATAATTATAATTATAATAATAAATACATTATAATTATAATTATTATTATAATTACAATATAATTACATTTATAATTTATATTATTTTATTAATATTATTATAAAATACATCTATAATATTTTTACCATTACTTTTTATTGTTTTATTTATTTATTTTAATTTTTATTGTTTTATTTATTTATTTATTTTTACTTTTCAATAATAAAAAAATAATATGAACTTCTGTTGCTTTTAGGTGAAATTATAACGCGTGAACCGCTTGATCGTGAAATGCGTGCACTGTATGATTTGGTAGCGGAGGCGCGAGATCAGGGCACACCCTATCGCAGTGCACGTGTATCGGTTAAGGTGCATATAACTGACGTCAATGACAATGCACCGGACATAGTCGATCCGCAAGAGGATGTTGTTAGTGTACGCGAAGAACAGCCGCCTGGCACTGAAGTGGTGCGCATACGTGCTATCGATCGTGATAATGGTCAGAATGCATCGATCACTTATTCCATACTGAAGGGTCGTGATTCAGATGGTTTTGGACTATTTAGCATAGATGCCAATACGGGTGTAATTCGCACGCGGGTCGTGTTGGATCATGAGGAGCGCAGTATTTATCGTTTGGCTGTCGCGGCTACAGATGGTGGTAATCCACCAAAGCAGTCAATACGTTTGCTGCGTGTTGAAGTATTGGACTTAAATGACAATCGACCAACGTTCACTAGTTCGAGTTTGGTATTTCGGGTAAGTTAATATATGCAAGCACATACTTTAAGCAAGTAAATTCTGTACAACGAAAATAACACTATACCGTGTTATACTGTGTTATATACTGTGGCTACACAATGACAAATAATAGAACTTATAGAATGGAGTTTCACATAAAGACAAGACGGCTAACCGGAAAGAGATACATTTTTGCAGTGGCTGATTAATGCTGCCAAATTCATTTCTAGGAATTTATTTATTTTGTTCAAGATTGAAATATTTTCTCTCCTTCTTAGATTTTTTTTTTTCCTTTTATTTTTTGTTGGTTTGTTTCTTTTTTTTTTTTATTAGTATTTTAGTATTTCACGCTTATAACAAGTTTTCATTTCGACGACTTTTACGAAAACAATTTTGTTTTTGTTGTGCTGGAGTTTTGGTTTGGTTTTTTCCCATTTGATTTTAAAAAGATACTTTTAAGGAAATTCGTGATCTTTGAGTTTATTTTTGTGGAACTCTCATTCCGTATTTGTATATCTTGTCTTATAATAGGTTTTCTTTCTGCAGTTGTTTTTCGGTGTTGTTGGTAATGTTGGTGTTGTTCTAGCAACAGCAGCTGACAATGAGCGGCATTTGTTAAGTAGCTTCTTTGTGTAACAGACGATGATTTGTAGCATCACGTGACAAAAGCTTAAACCACGACTTGTTATGAAATTCAAAAAAAAAAAAAATAATAATAATAAAACTTTAAATAATTTTCAAAAAAAAAAAACCAAGATATGTAAAAGCATATATTTAAATATTTGATTAAAATTTATTTTAAAATCATTTTTTGTTTTTTATTCCAACTATACTCTTTTGCCTTTGAGAATTGTTGCACAAAAACAATTTGGTTAAGTCGTCTTTACTCGTGCTGACTTGGCATGCATTCTTGCATATAATTTAAAGCCAAAGTGCTAAAACATAAATTTTATCACAAAAAAATCTGTTGCACATATGTATCTTTATATCTTCTGCGAATGCATGCGGGCACATACCCACATACCCACTCATATACATAAAGTCGTAATTATCCTTATGAGCTTTTCGTTTCTTTGGCACTCAGTTAAGAAGAAGACTAAGACTGACGATGATTCTGATTCTGATTCTGAGCTTGATTCCTTTTATTGTTGGCTTTGTTGTCACTAAATTTTCAATCATTTGAACCGTTTTGTGGCTGTCAGAAAACATTCTCAACATTTTCATCACGTTCCAAATGTACGTGTTTTGCATATTCAGTTATGCAGTTTATCTGCAACGCAGAAACTCTGCAGCAACTGTGAATGTATCTGTTTGTCGTCCATGTAGCTGTGTAGCTGTGTAGCTGTGTATTTCCAACGATCCGCTGGAACCAAGTCGAGAGTAATACGCTTTGACATGCCAGTCAATTGCAATAAAAAAAGACAAGTCAGCGCAGAAAAAAATTGCTTTAAATCTCTTTTGGCCACAATTAAAATTGCCATTTCTTATATACTTTTTTTTTTTTTTTTTTTTTTTTTGTTTTGTTTTTGTTTGCTGTTGCTGCAATTTTATTGCGGCAACTGTTGCCAATTGTTGTTGTTTTGTTTTTGTTGTACTCGTTGCTGCCGTTGTTACTGCTGATGAAAGGCGGCTTTCTTTAAGATTTCAGTATTCTGATTTGCACAAAATTGCGTTGGTGGCTGTGTTCTTCTTTTTATTTAAATATTGTTAGCTCGTTAAAAATTGTTGTTTCATTTATTTAATTGATTTTTTTTTTTTTTTTTTTTTTTTTTTTGCTATACTTCAATTCCTGAATAAACACTCAAGTCCACTTATGCACTTTTCTTAGTTAAGCTTAAGAAATCTTTAGCTCGCAATTAAATCAATTGTCATTTTAGTCGATTGAAATTCGCAGAAGTGCTGTTATGATGCATACAGATGAACAATTCCAAATACAATAAAATTTTGAAACAATTCTTTGAAACATTTTTCCCTATATTGCTGCTTACTGTTGACTTATTTTTAATCAAATGAAACAATTTTTGTGCTTCCGGGTACGCTCGGTCAGGCAGGAGGCCAATAAGGGCTTGAGAATTTGAAGAACTCCCCCCGAATTGAAGCGAAAAAGCATACTTATACATACGCATATTTCTTATTAATACCCGTATTTTTTTCTATTTATTCAGTATATTTTTAAAGTGATGTCAGTTTGTTTCAACCAGACCTATTGCTGGTTTTTACAACTCTGTAAGAAAAAATTACGACCAATGTATCATGACTATTTAATAAGTAAAAAATTATAAGAAGTAAATTTCTGGCTACGGACTTGGAGTATGGACTTTTTCAGCTACGCTATATTTCCATATATCTTACTCCTTGATATATAAAGGTTTAAAGTTATAAGTTTTTAATGTTGATTACAATTAAGTTTTGTATACTCCTATACAGTACTCCTATAAAATTAACTAAATAACTCATTGTTATATATCATGGAACATTTGTCATGAATCATCCAAGTGATCACAGACACTAATGAGTTAATAAACGCAAATTGAGTCTACTTTGGTTCTGTGTATCAACATGCAGGTTTACGATTCAAATTTGGCAGCTTTCATTAGTTTTGACACCTTATTCGAAATTCTAAAAAAATTTATAATTACTATACTATATAAAATTCTAAATTATAAATTAACTATTAACAATTTAAAACTTTATTAGTTCATAATTTGTATTTAGAAAAAATCTTTACCGACTTAGCAGTCCTCTAGCTTCCAAAAACATTTTAATACTATGTTTCCACTGATCCCCCGATTAGACAGTCTTGCTCAATAACGCCGTTAATGAGAATAATTTACCATACAAAGAGCTTTCACATAAATTAGTTTATTATATATAAAACAACTGATTTTTTTTTGGAATAAATGCTAATTATACCCTTGAAATACTAAGACAAGAGAAGGGTTAATCTGTTTGGAATATAGGTATTATTTCATTTTTATAAAGCAGAGAATTTTTGTTTTTAATAACCTTTCCGCAAAGTTTGTCCCAGTAATCAGATTTACATTTTGTTTGATGTTATCAGGTTTTTATAATTATTTTATATTCTAATCATTATACAGAAAATGGAGCTTATCATCTGCGTCATAAGGACCCTTCCCCATTGAACATATTTAAAATGTTTGAAACTTACTCATTTAGGAAGCTAGGTGTGACCCGCATGACTATTTATTAAATATTTATTAACAGTTTCCACTTTAACACTATTTGTCTATGTATTCTCCAGAAAGTGAACATATAACCTAAAAATGCCAGGGTTATTAGAGTCTATATTATTATAAACAGTAAAAATGTGTACTCTAAACTAATACAAACTGTTATTTTCAATAGATAAATACTTTTTGTATTATTTTTAATTAATTCGTGTAGTTGTTTCGGGTATTGCCAAATAACCATCGTCAATAATGATCTTGGAACTATCGGTGGTCTTATATTTAATTATTCGTGAATAATTTTTTGAGACTGCAAGTTCATCATATAATTTGTTGAATAATGAAGGAAAAAGTGTATACATGTGTAATGAATTAATTTATTAATAAAACTTACTATATTAATTCAATTTATTTTTCGTTATAAGCTTTTAATTTTTGCAATATAATCTTTCTTATTTTATTGATTTTAAAAATAATAAAATTTTTCTTTCACTTTTTTTTGTGAAACATCACAAACTCTTCTCGAATCTGTGCCATTTAACTTTCAGGCAGCTCAATAGTGTGGAAGTCAGAGACTTATAATTTGAATACCGTTTAAGCTCCGTAAAATATGCCTTCCTTAGCAGCTCTTGGAATGCAATGCCACACAAACGAGACAGAATAAATAATTTTCATTTAGGCATGTCAGCGAGAACAGTTATAGGATTATAATAATATATTTTATAACTCAAAACGATATGAAATAAGCATTTAAGCATGTGTTTTTTTTCAGAATTTCAGAATTGTTTGTTTTCATTTCATTCGATTTTGTTTCTTTGCTTTTTCCTGGCATGGGATTTGGATACAAACGCATAATTACTGTGCATTTCTCAGAAAGATCAGTTTGAATGGTTAATATGAATACATCCAACCACAAAAAGAAACGAATTGAAGGAACTTCATTTGTATCCGTAAATATTTATGTGATATATGCACATATTTAACGCAGGACGAAACAAGTCTTATAGCCCAGTAGTAAGAGCAGAAGCCACTATGTCTAAATAACAGATGGCTAATATATTAAATATTAAAAAAAAAATAAAAACATATATGTAGAATATATTAAGATTTTAATTTTACATATATTTTACGTCTACATATATTGTACATATGAAGACATAAGGCGATTAATACCCTGGAGCTTATAAAAATGAGCCCTTAACACTTAAAACCATTTATCACTTTTTATCTACCTCGTGTTCTACTCGATGGTTAAGCCATGCCTTAACTAGTACATTTTAACTGCTTTAATACTACAGATTAATTACACTTTTTTAATTAATAACCTCTTATTAGTTTAGGTAATTGTTGCTAAGAACAAAGACATTGTCATCTGAACTTCTATATAATTTCTTTTTCGTCCTAGTTTCTTGCAAGTTTGTTTTATCTAAAACACTCTGGGGGATGCCCTAGTGTTTGATTCTCCATTTTTTAAATGCATTTTCGGGAATGCATATTTTCTGGAAGTAATTTGATTTGACTTATATTGTATTACCCATTACCATTTGACGTTACCGATTATACTGCCGTACCCATAGTCGTTAATTTATGGGTACGTACGTCAAGTGCTTAACAGGCATTTGTTCCGTAGACGATGCAAGAAGCCGTACTATCTTCTATAGAGAGAATATTTGTGATAAAAATTCTATCAATCGGTTGAGAGTATTGAAGTATAGTATCAGTATTGAAATTTAAAAATTAAAAATAAAAAAACTAAACAGCAAATTCGAACAAAACTTCAAGTTCGAACACACAAGTCAAGTGCGGCTTTGGGTCAATTGACTAATGAAT